CTTGTTTCAGGTAAAAGCGAATGTGGTGATCCTCGAGACTCTTCACGGTTTTGCATCTAAGAAGAGAGAAGGACACAAGAGTGTCATCCGTGTTAGCCTGTCGGAAAATAAAAGCTTACAGAAGGTTGCTTGTGAGGCAAAGCTCAACGGCTATATCTTTCTCGAACACTATCTTCATGGCCTCTTCGTCGAGAAACGTTGCGTGGCCTAGCCTCGACGGTGCAAACGCGCGAAGCAGATTATCGGTCTCGGAAGTGGGATTGTCAACTGTCTGTAGAAAAATGCTGATCAGTCTTCCCACCGGTCACCTCCCTCCCGATTATTTCTCACTTCGGCGATATGGACAGTTACACCCAGTCCCGACGCCTTGGCATTTTGGAAGTGTTTGACGAACCGCTGGAGTTCCCCGGCCTGAAACAGTGGTAGCTGAGAACAAGGTAACCTTTAAGTGACAACATACCCGCGGATCACCACAGAGGTCAATACCGACGACCCTCCGCCCTTCTTCCTTCAGTGTGATGGCCAGGTTAATACATTCTTCCACGATCGTCTCGTCCATGCGTCGGTCCGTGCTAACTATCAAAGCAGCCTTGTCTGCTGGATATTTTTCGACTTCCTCGAGCACTGCCAGCAGATAGCCACGCCTGTCCATCGACTCAGTAGCACGGGGGGTTGTTCTCATCTCCAGGTATGCACATTGAGGGATCGGGTCGTCCAGAAATGAATGCAGAACGGCTCGAGCAGCTTTTGCAACGCGTTCGGGAGAAGATGTCAAGGCATAAATCGCCGGGAACAGGCCAAAGAATTCGTGTATTTCGTTGAGTTGCACTCCTTGCGTCAAATTTTGAACTCCCATTTTGACCGCTTCTGACACGGTGGAGCCACTAGCTGCATTCGCCGAGAGATAATCTCGGGCCATTTCTTGTAGCACATCGAGGGGGATCGATCCGTTGAGGTGGGCATGCAACTCAGCTTTGGGCAGGTCCCGAAGGAACTGCACTTCTGATTCTGTCAAGATTTCCAGTGCCCCTGCAGCGTATCGCGAAAGTGACATGGCTTCTGAACCAGAGTTATTGAAATAGCTAGTTAGAAACCGTACTTGCCCACAGTTTGAAGTCCTTCAATGAGAAGATTTGACCAGCGAGAGCCAACTGTCAATGCTGCTGCCATAACGTTAACTTAAGTACGAGGTCCTCTACGCAGTGACTATGAAGCACAACTTGATGTACCTGTTTGTGATGACCTTGCGAAGTTCGGTGTGGCAATGAATCAAGTGACGGTGCCGTGGAAACTAGGATCCGGAACCAAGAAAGGCAAGTGTAGTATTTGTCTCCGAATCCTCCCGCTCGAACAGAGCGAATCTCATCCTACGATTTGTGGCATATCTTATGGTCTACTGAAACCATGGTCACGGTGCTATAGCATTGAGAGAATGTCCAAGTCGCGATGCCGGAGGCTTTGCGGAGATGCATCACGATTAGGTCATACGTTAGATAGACTACAGCACGCTGGAGCGATACGACCTCGCAAGAGAGTACTAGGGGAGCAGCGCCGGGATATCAATTCCTTATAACCAGAGGCAGAATCTAGCCAGCCTACAGCCATCGCCTACCTGACCCACCGAGGAAACCAAACTGTACTGCTCTCCCCTTTCGGGTCCTCAGGCTGTTTTTCCTCCACCTTCTCCTTCTCAGGTTCCTTCTCCTTCTTAGGCATCTTCGCTTTCGCACTAAGTTTCGCGGCACGCTGTAGTATCTTCTTCTGCTTCGGGCTCAAGTCCGACTTCACAGGTGCCAGACCCGGTCACCCATCGGGCCTTCCTAGATATTATCGAAGCTGCTCTACGGAAACACGGTGACTGGCCTAAGGCGGACAAGGCGCTGCCGTTCAAGGAAGGGGAGAAAGCCAAGAGCGCGAAGAATCGAGAAACTAGCCAGAAGCTCGCGGAGAAGATATCTACATCGAGCGATGTGCTCACGGCTGTACAAGAAACAAATTATGCGGAACCAACGCGTTCTGCTCCGCAATTACAGGCCGCTCATGGCTCTAGACGTGTCCGTTCGGGTCGGAACGTGACAGGGAGCGGGTCTCTCTCCAAGTCAAGGTCCTCCGCATCAGCGGACAAAACGAAGGTTACCACTCAGGCTACAGAATCGGATTTCGGTGCGCCGCGCACTCGCTCCAGTCATAATGAAGGCACGGTAGCCCAACACACACGCGACATGGCGAAGGGTAAAGCAAAGGCTACGTCTTCGACTTCCAAGACATTGCGATCGTCTCAGCCGTCTATGCGTCAGGAGCAAGGCTGCGAGGGAAGTAGCCAGACGAAGACTGGCGTTGTGACGCGAGCTGCGGGCCCAGCTCCCGAGGGTCCGTCGTCATCCCAAGCATCTGGACGTCGTGAGACGAGGAGCGCAGTACGGGCTGCGCAGCCAGATGACGCACGCACCACCTTTACCGGCTCAGGGAATCGACACAGTGCTCGTGTTATGGCAGCCGGCGCTTCGGTTGATCAGGGAAGTCCTGGGGAGGGACCATCCAGCTCGAACAACAGAAGGGATGACAAGCCCACTTGGAGGTAGTAGTAAGGTGGTGATCGAATCGACTATTTGATTCATTTCCTCTCCTCACTGTCTGCCCTCCCCGTTATGACGTATGGCATCTCGCATTGCTTTATCCGTTGCTCTGGGTCTCCTATTTGCTGTCTCGCATTCATCGTGGACTACTTCCCCTAAAGTCCGGCTTTATGTGGCTATCTCACATCACCTAGAACACAATACACGCGTATTTATTTCTCGCTTCCTATGGTGTTGGCTTCGAGAAACTTTCCATTGATTGACCGCGAGTATATTAATATCAGAGATTTGTGGATACGAGCTAAGACGGCTAATGCGCGTTCAGTTCGCAAACGCCTGAATGCCCGTCATAGCTTTGCCCAGAATCAAGGTGTGAATATTATAAGTAGCAATCAACGTAATGGAGCAGGTAGGATCTTCGAATACGATTTACGTGCGTGCCTGGGAACAGGAAACGCGTCAGTTCCAAATGTCAGCAAAAGAGATGAGTGATCGCATCTTCGTACGTGTTCGTCACCTGCAGATTCGCTACGTGCCTGCCTATATGATACCTGCGAAATACGTTGTTGCTCTGCGTGATCATGCAACAGTGAGGGCAGGGAACTTACTCATCTGCGCACGCATTCCCACCCAGGATGTCCAATACGACGCGTGCATGCTGGAGCGCCTTGCGACAGTTATTCCGTTTCACCAAGCTGATCATCTCCGGCGCGACTTTCCCCGCATCTTTCAGACGGTCGACCCACCGCATTCCCATTTCGATCATAACCCGTCTTCGCTCTCACGGCAGATATGATGAACGCACCTGCAGACTCGCGAGCAGCCCCGTGGTGACCTCCGTCTGCGCGTCAACGAGTTTCTTCTGTACGAGCTGGAACGACGCGAGCGGGCGGCCAAACTGATGCCGCTCGAGCGCGTATTCCCGGGCGCGTGCGATGCAGTCCTCGAGGGCGCCTCTCGACCCTGGCAAAAGCGCCTCCTGTGACACTTTGACGCTATCCAGGAAGACAGAACCCGTGAGCGACGCGCGCAGCGCAAGCTTGTTCTTGATCGCCGGGGCAGATAGACCTGGCGTGCCCTACACATGGAATGTCAGCCCGAGTCGGCGTGCGAGGTATATGCACGCACCTCCTCAACTAAGAAGCCGCGGACCTTCTGGTCTCACTTGCATCGGGCCCAGATGACAAACAGGTCACTGCCGCCGGCAGCGTCAATATGCTAGTGGGATGCGCGGCATAAGTCCAATGCGACTACTCACGCAACAGGCTCATTGCTGATCCACGTCTTCGAGCCGCGGAGAATGAAACCACCCTGCCCGGGTGCCTCTTCGGCAGTGGTCTCCATGCCCGCTGGATCAGAGCCGTGATTGGGCTCGGTCAAGCCCTGTCGTGACAATTAAGAGGCCTTAATAACGATGAATAGAGGGTGACACACAAAGCAGCCGATGAGTTCTCCCTTTCCTGTGTAAACATGGACATGTTAGTACAGTACGTGACGACATTAGTTCAGTCAAAATAAGAGTCATAGCCGGTGCAAAGAGCTGAGTGAATGTATCTACAACTAGCGACTCGGGAACAAGGTGCAGGATTGGTGGAAGGAGTAGGTGGGTAGACAAATATAAATAAGCAGTCACACACCTAGAGCAGGCAGATACTTCTCCTTCTGCGCCTCCGATCCAAATGCATATATAGGGTGCATGACGAGGGACGACTGGACAGATGCCGTAGAGCGATAGCCCGAGTCCACTCTTTACAGCATAATTACACAGTACGAACAAGATTGGACGTCATCTGATGAATGGGAGGATAAACGCGTACCTCTCGATCTCACGAGCGATGAGTCCGTAGGCGACGCTGCTTACGCCCGCACAGCCGTAGCCTTGAATAGTGGGCCCAAGGAGGCCAAGCGAGCCCATCTCGGGGAGAATGGAGGTGTCGAGGACTGGGGAGGGTTGTTATGAGTGAATTGTATCATGAGAGTTCAGGGGGAGGGGGGGAGTCGGCTCGAGCGCGCAGTAGGTAGAAGGTGTATAAGGCCTGAAGTCAAGGATGAGGCACCTACTTTCGGTGCGCCAGCCCTTGAGGACGCGGGGCATGAGTTTCTCCTACTAGAACGTTGTGTTTAGTGACACGGCTGAGACGTTTGTAGCCCTTCGGCGGTCGAGTCA